GGAGTACTAGCGGTGTCTGCTCTTATCAGCACCCCTAGTACCACCTCGGATGTTTTTCAAAAAAAAAAAAAAAAAAAAAAAAAAAAAAAGGGAGGGCAAGTAAGTTTTTTTTTTTGAAAAACTTAGGGCGGGCGCTGTCACAGTTTCAGTTTGAAAACGTTTGTCAGTCTCTATTTGGCGAATGCTGTGTCAAACTGAGGACAATTGTGAACGTACACAACCCAGCTTTAGGGTCAGGTGGGGATGCGTTGTATTCGAGGGATGCCTGAACTGCATTTAAAAAACTGACATGGTGACTACGCCCAACCCTCTTTTTTTTGGCACAGAGCAAGTTGCCCGGCCAGGCAAATATATATATATATTGACGATATATATATATATTTATATGAGGAAACAGTTTGTCACAGCCCATGGTTTGTTGTCCTCTTCTCCCTCTCTGCAGATGGTTTTTGGGGTATATATATATCGTCACAAACATATATATATATACAGGGTTGCCAGCGTTCGGGACGGGCCGAACGCCCGTACCCGAATGCCCGAACATACGGGACCACTTCGGAAGGCGTTCGGCCGTTCGGGCCGAACGCGGACCAAAAAAAAAAAAAAAAAAAAAAAAAAAACGTTTTCAAAAAATTCCGAGAAAAAACTATGTTATGGAGAAAAATAAACTAAACAACATTTGCCTGGGGCCAAGTCCCACTAGTGAAGAGTAAATCGGTGTGTGGCACATGTTCCCGCCTTAAAAAATGTCGTTTCGGATTTTAAAAATGCTGATGGAGGGTTTTCTCGTTTTTTTTGTTTTTGTACACGATGACAAAAAAAACAAAAGGCGTGCTCACAGTAGCACTTGGGAGAATGCATCCAACCGCATTCACGTCCCAGCGGCGTACCTCAGGTTCAACCCCACGCAACAGACAACCTGACACCGTTTTCGGAGGCATGTCTGGCGGGCTCTGCACACAAACGACGTCCCAAAGAGGCTGGGCGGGAAGCTTCAAAAACACCCCCTGGGTCAAAAAACCATAAAATTGAAGCTTCCCGCCCAACGAATGTGGTCAACTAAACAGCAACAAAACAGCAAAAAAAGATTTCTAAAACATGCTACTGGACTTGGGGCACTTTGGAAACAGCGGGTTGGGCAAAAATGAGTGGGCGGTCGATGTCCACTGCAATCGGTGGCTCACATGAATCACCCCGGGCCGCAGGTCATTGAAAGCCCAGCCTCGTAACTCTTGGCTAGTGGGACTTTGCCCCTGGGCACTACATCCAAATTCTTTTCCAAATTTGAATTACAAATCAAATACAGAAAATAAACACTATGATAAAAATAAGAAAAAATAAAAAGAGAATTAAAATGAGTGAGTGTGCCAGCACCTTTTTTGCCGATTTTTAATTATTTTTGGGCATTGACAAATGCCCTGAAAATTTACAGATAGGTAGTTTACATAATCAATAACTCATTATTTGTTTTTCAAAAAATAATAAAAGTTTTTAGGCCCAGAAATAAAGTGAAAACAAAAAGTTAAAAGTGAAAACAAACAAAATAGTGAGTGGACGAGCACGTTTTGACACCCCCATCTTTGACGATTTTTAATGTTTTTTTGGATTAGCAGAATGGCTTCAAACTTTATAGGCGTGTAACTTACATCATAGAGAACTCACAAAAAACATTCAGAAAAAAAAACTTATTTTCAGGCCCCAAAAACTTTTTTGGCGTGGGCCGAACCTGGAAGTGTTCGGCCCCCGAACGGGCGCCCGAACGCCCGAACGTTCGGGGGCCAGCCCGGGGCCCCCCGAACGTTCGTTCAGGTAACCCTGCAGAGCTGCCCGGGTAAACTGTAGGCAGAGAGGGAGAAGAGGACAACAAACGAGGGGCTGTGACAAACTGTTTCGTCGAAGTTTATATAATATATATATTAATATACATACATATACTGAGGCAAAAGTTCAGTTAATTTTTATGCATCATATAGTTGGTTTTCAGATTGTTTAAATTTTTCATTTTTTTATTTTTTTTGCCCGGCCCTTCACTTGTCCTCGCACCACCTGGCCGCTCGGTCAAACAATATGACCCTGGCGGCCCGGCTCGTACCCCAGCTACTTTCCCCAGAAAAAGAAGAAGAAGAAACAACATCACAGGCAGGAAGAGAAGAAACGAGAAAAAAAAGAATGAACTGATGTAAGGACAGTTGCTCCTTGTGCCTTCTCCCCAGTCTCACTCTTCTCAATCCCCCCCTTTTTTTTCCTTTTTTTTTTTTGGAAGGTTTCAACTCCCCCTGTTTTTGGTTCTGTGCTCAATGCTCATCAATGACGCGGCACGTGCTGCCATCCGCAAATCAAATTTGACTCTCCCCATTCACTTTTCAGAATGCCTTGCAATCTCTTTCACCCTGCCCAGTTCCTTATTTTTAACGAATGTATCAATGCGCGAAACTTAGAAAGATGCATAAATAAAGCACATCCGTGCACATCCCGCCCAATGGAGAGTGGACAACACTCCTTTATCATTGTATTCTCGACTTCGATTTTATGTATACGATATTGTAGCTCTGAATACTGGGTCCGAACTATAGTTAACTAGTGAGACGGTAGGGGATAAACTTTATCATCAAAAGGGAAACAGCCCAGATCACCAGCTAAGGCCCCTAAATGGCCTTTAAGTGTACTTCAAATATATTTCGTCCGACATACATGGTATCACACACACACACCAAAAAGAAAAAACACATTTACGGATAACTCGAAATAATATCCATATTGGCCAAGTTCTAAAGGCAATTAATTCATTGCTTCAAACATAGCAAAAACAACAGTTTCCTCTTTTTTTCAAGTTAAAAAAAAAAAAAAGTTTCCTCTTTTGGCATCTCAGGGGGAGGGGAGAACCTTAGCTCTCCCTAGTGTAACCTCTCGACGCACCGCTACAATAAGGGCATAGTCAAACTAAGGTCTTTTCCTAAAGCTGTGGAGGCAATTGCAGTCAGATACATCTGGGTCTGGCCGTAAATGCAGCCTGATACATTTAGAAAAGCCCTCGTGTGAATATATGCCCTTATACTAGATTCTCTCCCATCACCCTTGATAAGCATCTTAGAATGCCTTCCCCTCGTTTGCCGCTCGTTTGCCGCTCGTTGCCGCTCGTTGCCGCTCGTTGCCGCTCCTTAGATCCCGACAGTACTTCCTATTTTAAACTCGTGCCCGCATACAAGCCACGATTTTGAGAAAAAAAAAGTGCAGGCCGCTACAGGAGCGCCCAAATTCATCCGACTAGAAAACGGTTCTACTCTATTTGTTTTCGCGGAGGATAGCTCGCCCAAGTACTGTTGGTTGAAATTGAAGTTTATTCCCCCCTTCAGAGGGGAAAAGACAGCCCCACACTGGTACCGGCAGGAAAAGACAAGACAGAGCCAATATCGGTCCCGACAGGAACAGACAGAACCCGCTATCGGTCCCGGCAGACAAACACAGAAACGATTCGCTGCACTACTCACCAAATGTGCAAAATGAGACTGAATCCACCGCTAGAACATGGAAAGATACATTGCCATATTTTCGTCGTTTGTGCATCTGGAGAGTAGTGCAGCGAGGCCCAAAGCCTGGTGTTGATCCCGACAGGAACAAAGAGCCCCATAATATAGGTCGCGACAGGAACATACAGAGTCCCATATCTTTATTCCCCCCCCTCCTCCACTCCCCACCCCCCTCTCCCTCTTCCCCCTTCAAAGGACCAGACAGAGCCCCACATCAGCGCAATGTGGTATAGGAAAGACGAAAGGGAGCTCTACTTCATCAGATCAGACAAAGTCCACCCTCCTTCCAACTCCCGGCTCGGCAATCCTCCCCTGGGAATGAAAAAAAAAAAAAAAAAAAGAACGATCCGATATAGTTTCTTTTTTCCCCTCCCTCACGCTCAATGCCAGCCTGAAACTGCAGTCACATCCTGGAG